GTCAATCATAAAAATCTTAATTCTGGCCGGAAATTGAATTTCGGCCGGATTTAAATTCATCTATTTTAACCGGTTAACATGTTAACCGTTTTAACCGGTTAATTAACCGGTTAAAAATTAACCGGTTCCAACCTCTAGGTTATAGTTGAAATTGATTCCAATCCCTAAATTAGAATAGTTTTTGAAGAATATTTGTAATTTTGATGCTAAAATTTACAAACTTTTATTTCGGCGGGACAAGTCGATCAAATTAATACAAGAATTGCTGCAATTTCATAAAAGAAACCACAGCTCCTAAAATAATGTTTTTAAATTAATACTTATTTTTTTTTTTTAACGCCTTACTTTTGATATTGACTCACGTATCACGAATTGATTGATTCTTTATCATGAAGAAAAATCACCAATGCATGCCCAAAAAAAAAAAATAATAATACTCTCTTAAACTCTACAGGTCTACTAATCAATCCAGATTTAGCAATTTTTAGCAAGCTTGATTGGGAGGAGCAGATTTAATAGAAAAGATTTATACAACGAATTTGCAAAAGTGTAATTTTGATTTATGCACATCGCCAAATGGGTGGCAAGCTATTAAAGTCACGTTACGGATCATATGATTATATGTTCGTAACTCGATTTTAATAGCAAATCTCCCAAATGATGGATTGGAAGAATTTGATCGTACGACAAAGGGATTATTATATAATAGAAATTATGATACGTGGACGTACTATCGTAAAATTTTTATTCGCGCTATTATGGCCCCAAAATTTATAAAACAATCCATAAGAAATTTTTGAAGAAATGGAAGGTTATTGGATGAAACTTGATGGAGATGATGGTATTGAATTAGATTTATATAAATGGTTATTTAGATTTGTTACAGATACCAGTTTTCGTCTTACAACAAATAAAAGAACTTATGCATTAGCAAGTTATCTCAACAAAATTTCTCCAAATAAAAAGGTTAACGTTGATATAACCATATTAAAAGAATCTGAAGAGTTCGTCAATAAAGTTAATGATTTCTTTACTTCTTTGCAATATTTCTTGTTAACTCAAAATGGATGCGTCATTTTCCCGGCGGATGTAAACAGCTAACCATGCGATTATTAAAGAGACGAGATCGTTTGTTAACAGATTTATTACATTTGGTAGAGAAGAAATTAATAACACTCCTTTGGACTTTCCAGTTACTCCTGATATGCTTAATTTTTTTATTGACGGTGTTAGACCTGGAATCGTCTCAAAACCAAGCTAACAAAAACTAAATAACTTAATATTTTAATTACCTCAAAGGAGAAATAAAAGATAAACAAACAAAACAATTTATTATCACGATTCACTAGTGTAGTTGGTGAACGAATTGCCAATGAAACAAGTATGGAACCGATGACTGATGAAGCTATCATTAGTAACTTTATAGAAACAATAGTTGGAGGTCTTGATACGATTTCAGGGTCACTCTGTTATATCAATTATTGTATGGCTCTTTACCCCGAAGCAAAGAAACGTCTTTTGAAAGAAGTTGATTTAGAATTTCCACACGATCAAAAATTAACTTATAAAGATCTCAATAAACTTCCTTATTGTGATGCAGTAATTAAAGAGTCTCACGATTCTATCCAACAATAGATTTTAATTTCTGTATGGATACCAGAAAAAAATTTAAATTGTTTCATCATTCCTGCCGAAACTAAACTTTTTATACATCAATATGGTACAAACAAGCATAAAGCTCATTGGAGTAACCCTGAAGAATTTGATCACGATCGTTTATTGATAGCAAATCAAAATTTTAGTACACCAATTCAGAGGTGGTGCAAGAATGTCTCCAGTAAGTTTTTTTTGATTATTATTAACTTTTCATGAATTTTTAAATGCATTAATATTTTATTTTTTATTTATTTTTTTTTTTTAGGGATTAAATTTAGCTGTCATGGAATTGATAGCACTTATGGTATTAATTTATCGAATATCCCTTAAATTATCATTATATATCAGTTGACTATATAATAATTCGAGCTAGCTTTGTAGATCATTGAAATTTACTGTTATAACCGGATATTTGTTATTCTGAATAAAGTCAGCACTAAGAACAAAAGAAAAAAAAAATGTAACATATTTCAGAAAATTGCAGGTGAGTAGGCAAGTGATCAAATTAAAAATTAAAAAAAAAATTCCCAAGTATAAATTTATTCGCTTATCTCGATATAATTTTTTTTCAAATCTATTTAATAAGTACATTTAGCAACTTGAAGTTAAATAAATCCAGCAAAATCCAACATGTAATCTTGTTTTTCTTATATAAAAGAGTATCAATATTCCATTAGCAAAAACCTGTCAAAAAAAAAAGATTATTTTTTCTATTTAGCTTGGAAATGAAAAGCATCGAACCGCAAATAATATGTTTTAGTAGCAAAGATCGAATAATGTTATGTAATATTGAATCGTTGAATTACTCTCGACATTTTTACCTAATCATTGTATAAAATTATATGCATATATTAAACACAAATAAATTTAAGCTTTAGATCATTAAGCAAAGAACTATAATGTAAAGATAAAAAAATACACATAATATATGTAATTTAATTTTGTATAGAAATGAAATCAGGCTCATTTGCAAGCCTATATTGAAGTTAAATTATTTTCGCGCGTTTTCCTATAATAACAATATTGTATTTTTAATAATATCAATCAATTTAGCGGTCATATGCTTTAATAAATTCATAATTACTTTTTATTTGAGTGTTAATTTCTAATTCTTTAATTTCACGCTTACTGAAAAATTTTCAGAAGAAATAAATGAATTTAATTGACGTGTATAGATTCACTTTGATGATGAGCAATCGAAACAATTTGAGTTGCTAAATTCACATTTATTGCATTTATTGTAGGTAGTCTAATAAATCATCATTAAATATATATTGAAACTCAAAGCTTTAAATTAACAATTTAAATATATTATTTAATATATTACAATACCTTTGCAATATCAATTTCAAGTTCTTTGAATTATATTTTAATGATAAAATTCAAAAAATTAGAACTTAATTTTAATTGATTCCATATTCCAATAAAATATATATTGATCTATACAGTGGAGTACTTTTAAGATTTTATATCTTTGTATTCCTCCTGTTGATGTTAGTTTGCGTTTAATTTATCACCACTTAATACATTGTCTGGTTCACAACCCAATAATTTTTACCAGTGTAAACTTTTACATAATCTTTTGATGTATCAGGAATTGATGTTTCACCAATTATTTTAATAAATACTTGATAAATTTCGGTCTTGTCTTTAATATTGTTGTATTCAGTTCATATATTTATAATCAATTTTGTAAGTAAGCAGAAGATTTTTATTGAATAATTATTGAGTAAAAATGAAGCAATTGTGACAAATATTTATTTAATAATATCAAGTTAATCATAGTTGCCTCATCGTTTTACGCAATGTCAATATATTAATTTAAGTAAATACCGAAAAATTGAATAAAAAATAATAAGAAAATTAAAAATAAACGAAGTTATAAATACGAAATCTATAACAGATAATGTCAAAACGGCGAAAGAGAAAATATCGCGAAGGGTTTAACGAAGGTTTTCGAGGGTATGTATGCAAAATATATTAAGCGTAGAATGTTGAGCTGTATAAGGATTTCCGGCTCGTATTTATAAAAATAGGATCTTGACATTTTGTCATACTTGGACACACCTGGCAAATGATCTTCAAAAGACTAACTGCAAATATATGAAAGTGATTACATGCGGAATTATGGAGTTTTCGGGCGCAATTATATTCATTGTAACAATATACAGAAATGGCTGAATCCGGATTATCACTTCGTCCGTAACGCAGGCATATTTGCCTGTATAAACATAGTAGCATGTAAAAGTCTAAAAACGAAGGTTTCTTGTTATAATTCTCTCAAGAATCATTTTCAACAAATTAAAATGTTCGAAACTCCAATGGATTTTAAAATCATTCCATATAGTGGCTTGAGAATAAATCATCAAATTCTGTTTTCTTATAACGCGTAATATAAAAATAAAATTATGTATCTTCACAAAACTTATAGAAAATTAATTTTTTTGCAAATTTATAAATCGCGGTTTAAATCATCACATATATTAAAAATGCCGATCACGTTTCAACGTCAACAGTCGGAAAACATTTATAACTCCAGTAACTTGGAACTACAAAAAATTATGCGATATGAGCAAAATTAAAAATATATACATGACGCAGTAAAACATATTATCGTGTTCACCAGTATGATGTAGACGATCTTGTTTTTTAATATTTTTAATGATATCATGGAGTTTATATGAAAATTACAATAACGATAATTTATTTTAAGCAATAAATTATACTTATTATTATACATATTAATTTCAAGTAACTTGTCTCTATTTTCAATATAATAAATAATATAAGCGTAAAGATGGTAATTATGGAATATTTTTCTAACTGTAAAAGTATAATATTTTAGGAGCTAAAGATAAAATGGGGCTAATTAATAAATATCTCAAAAAATAATTTTTCTAGCAAGTGTTTAGATAATTTATTCTTTTTATTTTTCGCGATATCAATTCAATTATGTGAAATAGTATATCTACAATTACCCTTCTGCAAATTTATTTTATTTTATTTTTTTTTAATTTCGAATTTTTTTTTAATTAAAGTTTTATAGCTATAATTTTAAAATTAGTTTTTTTAATTCTCATTTAGTATCTAAGTGGTTGACAAAAGGGGGATATTTTATTGTTGCAATATTAATGGTTGGTTGTACTTTCATCGAACAAATTAAGGATAATAAAAATAATCGAAATAATCGAAGATGCATTACCTATAAAAGTTGTTACATCTTGAAATATAGTATTTTAGCATATAATTGTTACTTGATGAGGCATTAAATAAAGCAATTCGTCTTCTATAAACATATTAACAACTTCGTGTAGTATTAATTTTATAACACAAAAAGGTACTTTTTTTTCGTGGTTCATAAAAAGTGGGTCTTCCATTTTTTTAAAAGAATCTAATATACGACAACTCGATTTCAAATTTTATGCTAGATATCTAGTAGGATCGCATAATATCGCCATGAGAATGATGAACTTACTCTTCATCATTTTAAAGTCAACATCATATAATATCGTTATTGTGCTTGCGTTGATAAATAGTCAAATTATTGTCCAATTCGTAATGATGATCGGTCAGATTTAGCCACGAACGTGGCTAAATCTAACTGATCGTCATTACGAATTGGACAATAATTTGACTATTTATCAACGCAAGCACAATAACTTATAAATATAGGTAGCCTCACGATTAAATAATTCTTTAAAAAAATGCACAGGTTCTTAAAATGAAAAGATAGTTATGGTGTGCTTGTAATAACTAAATTTGTGAAAATTCAGATATTACTTTGAAAATAGTACCTATAAGTTTGAGTACTTTGAAGTTCTATACTTCGGGATCATATTTAACCCATCCAAAATTTTGCGAAACTTTACGATATAAACATTGTAACTATCAAAATATGTTTCTATTTCTCTTCGCTTGATCAATTGAGTCATTATTAACTCGTATGAAGGGATTTTAACACTTGTCTAAAATAAAAATTGTGCGAAAACTATGTTGCTATTCATTTAAAGTAACTTAAATCTTGCCGACCTCTAAACGGATTGATTTAGAAATGGTTCACTGCATGCAAACGCGTGACCGCACACAGAGGATATAATCAAAAGTCTTTAATACATAAAAGACTTTACTCATTATTTACACGCAATGTCTATAAAGTATTTAATCGACAAAATCAAATTTGTGATTTTCAAAAGAGATATAAAAGTGTTGAGCTTAATATTGCTCTTTAATAACGAAGACGTCATTTTAAGAGCAGCTTAATCAAAAGTTTATTCAGATAAAATTATATATATAAAAACACGCCTGTGCCATAAAATTTCAAAAATCAATATTTCTCCAGTTGTCCTTAAACATTTCAAAAATCAAATTTCTCAAAGTTAAATTCTGCTATCACACATGTTCTCACTTTTTCGCACTCATTAAATGACGATGAATCTTATGAATCGAAACATATTGATATTCTTTAAATGGACCGTTCAAGAATCTACCGTGCCAAAATAAAATAGAATTATATCGAAATAATTTTAAAGATTTTTATTGTAAAATTTGGTAATCTCAAAAAAATTTTAATTTCTTTATTTGAAGCAAAAGTGCTTCGTAAAAATATATTGGAGTATTTCATGAATTAATTCGTATGCACACGCACGTCTTCACTGTTTGAATCAATTTTATTATAATTTTCAAAATAATCCGCTTTGCGTACAAATTTATTACAAAATTTAACTTAATTTTTCATAAAAAAATCAAATATTCGAACAAGACGTTAAAAACAAATTAAATTTTTTAAAAAAAATAACACCGAAAATTTACTTCGAACACTCAAAATCTTCTAAAGAAAGTTTATCTTCATTATCTTTTATCATTTTTTCATCCGACTATATATTGATTATAATCAGTTGGTTTATTTTGTGACTGAATTTCAAGAACATCATCTGTATTTATTTTTTAACATTATGTTCGGTTTATATCTTGTTTATGAAAAACATAGGTAAAATAATTTAGTCTACATCAGGAAAATTTTTGATGCAAAGTATTCAATTCCGAAGTATTAATATCGAGATCAATTTCTCTGGTTATATATTCTAAAAATGTACAAATTAGTTATAAAATATAATTAAAATGAACATTTATATAATCACATTACCTTCATTAGATTCATTATTATTCACATTATTCGCATTAATATCTATTTTCAATTCTTTTGTCACATAATCTAATAATTACAGAATAGTATTTAATATTTTAATATTCTAAGAGCATATTTTTTTTTCTCGTCATTTATTTATATAGAGATTCCGCGTAATTCTAATATACCACGTAGAAATAAATAG